TGAATTAAGCGTTACTAACCCTCGACCCGAGCTTTCAGGCAGGTGTAAACACCCGCGGCAAAGTCGAATCACGTGCCGGCTGAAATATTTTCCACTTGGAAGCCGACCCGCCTTTCAGTGGGTACTATTTTATTACAAACATTTGAACATGCTTTTTGACCGCTTAGTTTCGCACCTCCAGTATACATGAACATCACATTAAATGTCAGGTGTTGCACCCGGTTAAGGTCGCTCTCAAAGTGCTGTTGATTGTGTGACAATTTATATTAGTCTGTGCCTGGACCTGAGGAAATATTAACCAGTGGAACGTTAGCAACTTCCCGTTTGGCCTAAAGGTATGTCAAAAACCCAGAACTGAAGTCTGTGAGCTCATGGCCAAGTCAGAAATAGTATCAAAACTTTTGCGAGAAAATAGTGTTTATTTTTGAGGCATTTGATGCACCATCTTTTATAAGCATAATCATCACTGCACATCTGTCGTCAATTTCAGGAAGGGTGGCGTTGACGGCCAACCATCATGTGACTCAAGAATCTGCTCCTGCCACTTTCCCAATGGTGACGAGAATGAGGTGCCGACGCTGTTCCCGTGGAACAACTTCCAGGATAAAAAATCGAGGTGAGTGTTTGATGAATGTCTTTTTGCTAACTAAATTTAACAGCGTAAGAAGTTTTAAGTACAAATGCATGTACATTTTATGGTTCTTGGCGTCCTGTATTGTAACATCGCAAGTTATTTCAGCAGTTCCAGGACACGGTACATCACTAAATTAAAACGCTTTACGAAAAATACAACACTGACGAGAGTGCTTGGGAGCATACTGAAGTAGCAAAGCGCGATAAAGTCCTACTCATTACGATGGGGTCTGTTGACCAGTGCAGTGCGTGTTGGAGAGCTACTGATGGCCGGTGGCAGGCCGTTCCAGGACAAGAACGAGGCAGCGCGTCGAAAACGCACACTTCGCTCTGCGGACAGTATCGATGGACGTAAGGCCGGCGGCTCCAGCCTGCCTGCCGGCGGCGCCAGGGTGGTGGACTGCGGCGCCGCAGCCAGCGTTGTGCACGTGCGAGTTGTCCCTGGAGCACGCGAGCCCCTGAGTGCCCCAAACACACCGGAGCTGCCGCGGTGAGTGACCAGGTCGCGGGTGCCGCGCCGAAACAGTCCGTCCAAGGTCGGTTACATGCGATCACTTACACTGGGTCATGATTTATGTGCTTCGCATACGTGCTTGCGTAAACAGAGAGGGATGGAACTACGCATGATCATGTTGGAGATGTTTTCTTCCCATAACACACATCGGTGGACTGTCGATAGAGTTTGCTGACTCAGTGCGATGGAGTTTGCTGACCAATGCAGTGCGTGTTGGAGAGCCACTGATGGCCGGTGGCAGGCCGTTCCAGGACAAGAGTGGGGCTGTGCGTCGAAAACGCACACTCCGCTCTGCGGACGGTATCGATGGACGTAAGGCCGGCGGCTCCAGCCTGCCTGCCGACGGCGCCAGGGTGGTGGACTGCGGCGCCGCAGCACGCGTTGTGCACGTGCGGGCTGTCCCAAGAGCAGGCAAGCCCTTGAGCGCCCCAAACACCCCGGAGCTGCCGCGGTGAGTGACCAGGTCGCGCGTGCCGCGCCGAAACAGTCCGTCCAAGGTCGGTTACATGCGATCACTTAGCAGGGCCATGATTTATGTGCTTCGCGTATGTGCTTGCGTAAACAGGGAGGGATGCAACTACGCAATTATCATGTTGGAGATGTTTTCTTCCCATAATATGCATCGGTGGACTGTCGCTGCGCACCTGCTTAGAAGAAGCTGGTCTCAGTTTGCAGCCAGACACGTTACATGGAAGGGCGTATTTTATTGAGCTTTTGGGCTTTGCCGACGGTGAGATAGAATGCCTAGACCGGGTTAATTTTCAAAGATTGGATATAAAATAGGATTGGACTGCGAGAAAGCTGCAAAGCTGCCGGGTGTATTTCAGCAAATATTGTGTGCTTAGGGTGCTAATCGCAATAAGCGTGTTATCAGCTGCTGACCATACGTCATTTGACGTCAGGCGCTGCAGCTGGCATGCTGAATTGCTTGCGTCACATCGTGATGAATAGCGAAATGTGCTAGTGTGCGGATATGCAGCACCCGTCAGCTGGAATAGCTACAAAGAATAGTTCGTAGTTACCTCATACTCATCTGCGGTATTGCTCACTTGTGCGTTTTTAACGCTAGTCAGTAACGATAAGTTTTGCATGTGATAGTGCCAGGGACTAAGCTCACGGTTTGCTGACTCCGTTTTCAGGTTGTCCTCAAGCAAAACTGTGTATTTGGTGCCAAAGAACGGAAAGAACCGCTCACCGGCGACTCTCCTACACAAGGCGAAGGACCACGCACCCGCCGCTCTCGTATGGAGGGTGAGGAATTGCTTACCCGCCACTGACACGCACAAGGCTGGAAACTACTCACCTGTGACTCTCCCGCACAAGGTGAAGAACTTCCCCGCCGTGGCTCGCCCATACAAGGCGAGGAAGAACTCATTCGCGGCTTTGCGCAAGCCATGCTCATCACCCTCGGAGCAGAAGGAACGTGACTGGA